TGACTGAGTCCGAGTGATGAGTGAGTCTTAGTGATGAGTGAGTCTGAATGATGAGTGGGTCTGAGTGATGAGTGAGTCTGGGTGATGAGTGAGTGGGTCTGAGTGGGGGGAGTGGTGTGTTCTCTCTCCTCCGGCGCGGTCCGCCAATAACAAGAACCCCATACTTAGGATATGGGAATAATTACTCGACGCGGGGCTCTCCATATGTGCATCTCATTCTCTTGGTACGTCTTTCTCTTGATATCTGTCAATGAGCGCCTGTGTGCGAGGGCGAACCGCTCGCTCGAGACATTCCCACAGTCTGCAAGCATGAGTGCGACCAATAGCAAATCTGAGAGCGACTGATTCTGAGTGTGAGTTAATCTGGGTGCGATTGAGCCTGGGTTTGAGTGGGTATGCGTGTGAGTAAATATGAGTGCGAGTGCGTCTGTGTGCGAGTGGGTCTGAGTATGGACGACTCTGAGTGTGAGCCAGTCTGTGATTGAGCGGATCGTAGCATGATGAGTCTGAGCATGATGAGTCTGAGCATGAGTGAGTCGTGGCTTGAGTGGGTCTGAGGGTGAGAAAAAGTGTGTGTTAATGAATCTGAGTGCGAGTGAGCCGAGTGTGATTGGGTATGGATGTGAGGCAGTCTGAGTGTGAGTCGGTCTGCGTTTGAGCGGACCGAAGGATGATGAGTCTGAGCAGGAGCGAGTCTGAGTATGAGTGGTTCTGAGCGTGAGTCTGAGTGTGAGTAAGTTTAAGTATGGATATGAGCGAGTCTAAGTGCGAGTGAGCCTGCGTGTGACTGAGTCTGAGTATGAGTGAGTATGAATGCAGAAGAGTGAAGGAGAGCGGAGAGCGAAGGAGAGTGAGGCGGAAGCGTTTGAGTAAAACCTAAAGCCTTGGAACATCGAACCTCGATCGTCTGGCCCTGGCTACTCGAGTTGCCCACGTCCTCCTCCTCCTCCTCCTCCTCCTCATCATCATCATCATCATCATCATCCTCCCCTTCCTGCTTCTGCTCCTACCGTGTTCATGCTGTCCTCCTTCTCCTCCTCCTCCTCCTCCTCCTCGTCCTCTTCCTCCTCCTCCTCGCTTCCTCCTTCTCTCCTCCTCCTCCTCCTCCTCCTCCTCCTCCTCCTCCTCCTCCTCCTCCTCCTCCTTGGGAGTGCTGAAACCAGCAAATCGCCTGAGACATCCTCCCAAAACTGCTCCGAAAACGACAGATGCCCAGCATCATAACGGCCAAACCGCCTGAGACATCCCCGCAAACTGGGCGCGAACGTCCTCCAAATCTGCTCCGAAAGCGAAACATGTTGGAAGAGAAAATGGCCAAACCGCCTGAGACATCCCCACAACATCCCGCGAAAGGGGCCGAGTGAAATACCCCCCCGCCGCTCCCCTTAGAGTGCTGAAACCAGCGAATCGCCTGAGACATCCTCCAAATCTGCTCCGAAAGCGAAACATGTTGGAAGAGAGAATGGCCAAACCGCCTGAGACATCCCCACAAAATCCCGCGAAAGGGGCCGAGTGAATTCTTCACGCTTCGCGTATCCCCACCAGCCTATCTCAAAACAGCAACTCTTGCGAAGCATGCCGACAGTCGTGTTTTTCAGGCGCGTTTCCGCCTGCCCCCGCATATCTCCCCTGTTCCTCCTTCCTCCCGCCTCCTTGTACATCCTCCTTGTGGTGGGAGCGGGAGAAGGACGAGGCGGAGGAGGAGGGAGAGAAAGCGCTCCTCGTGGTTTGAGTCGTTGGGGTTTCTCGTCCTGGTGTGAGTCGTTCGGGCCCTTCTTCCTGGTGTGAGTCGTTCGGGCTCTTCGTGGTGTGAGTCGTTCGGGCTCTTCGTCCTGGTGTGAGTCGTTCGGGCTTCTCGTGGTGTGAGTTGTTCGGGCCCCTCGTCCTGGTGTGAGTCGTTCGGGCCCCTCCTCCTGGTGTGACTCGTTCGGGCTCCTCGTGGTGTGAGTCGTTCGGGGCCCTCGTCGTGGTGTGAGTCGTTCGGGCTCCTCGTGGTGTGAGTCGTTCGGGCGCCTCGTCCTGGTGTGAGTCGTTCGGGCCCCTCCTTCTGGTGTGAGTCGTTCGGGCTCTTCGTGGTGTGAGTCGTTCGGGCCCCTCGTCCTGGTGTGAGTCGTTCGGGCTCCTCGTGGCGTGAGGCGTTCGGGCACCTCGTCCCCTTTTGGGGCGTCTTGGGGGCCTCTTGGCGGCCCCAGGGGCTTCTAGGAGCGTCTTGGGTGCCTTGGGGGAGCCTCTTCGGGCCTCTTGGGAGCCTCTTGGAGGCCGTTTGGGGCGTCTTGGGGGCCTTTTGGCGGCCCCAGGGGCTTCCAGGAGCGTCTTGGGTGCCTCGGGGGAGCCTCGTGGGGCCTCTTGAGGGCCTCTAGGGGGCATCTTGGGGGCCTCTTGAATGCTTTTTGGGGGCCTCCTGGGGGCCTCTTGGGGCCATCTTGGGGCCTCTTGGTGCCTCCTGGGCGCTTCTTGGGGCCATCTTGGAGGGAATCGATCAAAGAAGAGGGGAGCTTTAATGAGCGCTGGCCCCTCAGAAGGGCAAAATGAGCCCAAAACCTTCGTAAAATCAATGATTTTGCCTTGAAGGAAGAGGGGAGCTTTAATGAGCGCTGCCCCCTCAGAAGGCCAAAATGGGGCCAAAACCGTAGTAAAATCAATGATTTTGGCTTCAAAGAAGAGGAGAGGGTTTTTTCTGCCCCCCCCGTCGGGGCCAGAATCCTCGTGAGGGGTGTCGTTTTTTAGCCCTCCCAGGAGTCGAAAATTACCCCCCTGACGACCCGCAGAAGGACCTCTCCAGGCCCAGGGGGAGGGGGTAGGGGGAGGGGTAAACCCTTCCCCGAAGGGGAAGAAGGGGGGTTGAGAACAGAACGGGCTCTCTAAACCACTCACGCCCAAAGGGCTGGTGGGAATACCCCCCCGCCGCTCCCCTTAGAGTGCTGAAACCAGCGAATCGCCTAAGACATCCTCCAAATCTGCTCCGAAAGCGAAACATGTTGGAAGAGAAAATGGCCAAACCGCCTGAGACATCCCCACATAATCCCGCGAAAGGGGCCGAGTGCAATACCCCCCCGCCGCTCCCCTTAGGAGTGCTGAAACCAGCGAATCGCCTGAGACATCCTCCAAATCTGCTCCGAAAGCGAAACATGTTGGAAGAGAGATTGGCCAAACCGCCTGAGACATCCCCACAAAATCCCACGAAAGGGGCCGAGTGCAATACCCCCCCGCTGCTCCCCTTAGGAGTGCTGAAACCAGCGAATCGCCTGAGACATCCTCCAAATCTGCTCCTGAGTGATGAGTGAGTCTGAGTGATGAGTGAGTCTGAGTGGTGAGTGATGAGTCTGAGTCATGACTGAGTCCGAGTGATGAGTGAGTCTGAGTGATGAGTGGGTCTGAGTGATGAGTGGGTCTGAGTGATGAGTGAGTCTGAGTGATGAGTGAGTGGGTCTGAGTGAGAGGAGTGGTGTGTTTTCTCTCTCTCTCTCTCTCTCTCTCCTCCGGCGCGGTCCGCCAATAACAAGAACCCCATACTTAGGATATGGGGAACAAGAACCCCATCTTAGGATATGGGGAAACAGTCCAGAGACGATTTTTCGACTATTCTGGACCATTTCCGCGTATTTTTGGAGCATGTTTAATTTTTCGTCCAAAATCCGCTTGTAGGGGGACATGCCCGACCTAAGGCGATCCGCCCCGACCGTCGCCCCCGTGAGCATCTCGAGCTGAATGCGGGTCTGGCCCGTGAGAGAGGAATTGGCACGCAGCACTCCTCATGGCGCCAACGTCGCCGAGCGGATTTCGTTCGGAAAGCGATCGGATGGGCTTGGAGTGGAGTGTCCTGGAGAATTTCGTTCCCGATTTCGAGGTGAATTTCGTGTGGATTTTTTGGCCAAGGATGACGAGACACAAATCCACGCGAAATTCACTTCGTTTTTCACTCGCCGTTTCGGAGTTTTGCATTGGCAAAAACCCACGCCAAAACTCCGCTGCAGCACGTCTGCAAGGTCGGTGCAGTGACTAGTCGATTAATTAGCGTTGGGGGATATGGCGTGGGGCCGTGCAGGATCTTCCTGGAGCCCCTGGGGCTCTCGTAGAGCTCTCTTGGGGCTTCTCGCGGTCTCTGTGGGGCCATCTTGACGGTCTTTCACGGGTCTTGGGGTCGTTTTGCAGGGTCTTGGAGCCGGATGGCTGAGTTTTGGGGCCCTCCAGAGCCGTTCGGGAGCCTTCTTGCAGACCAGCTGGAAGCCTCAAGAGCAATTTGTAGCTATCTTGAGGGCATTTTGGGGGCGTCTTGACCTGTTTGGCGGCCCTTTTGGAGTCTTCCTGGACCTCCTGAGAGGCGTCTGTGAGCGAGAAGGCGAGATAGTGGCAGCGCATGGAACAATTTTATGTGTTTGGGTGATTTTGGATGTCCGGGCTTGCTTCTGGGACTTCTTTGGGCTTTCTTGGGACCTCTTAGGGTTTTTGAGTTTTTCTTTGCGTCCTCTTGGGCGTGCCGGAGCTCCTCTGTCGGGGGTGGACAGAACCCCCAACAGTGACACGTCGATTAGTGAATTGTCCGTTTTCGGTTCTCGAGATCGCGCCGTGGCCGTTGCTTTCCAGGTCTGCGCCCGCCAGGTTTGGGCCTCAGGTCGTTTTCACTAAACCACGTTTTACTAAAGGGGGGTCTGTCCATCCCCGAGTGCAGGATCTTGGAGGAACTTGCAGGAATTACAGGGTCCTGCAGAGCCTGACTGGCCCGGATTTGCACTGACCCGGGTCAGTGCGTCCCGATGGGAGGGGGTCAGGCGAATGTCTCACACTCCTTCCACCCCTGGCCAGCGGGGGTCGGCGGATGCTGGTTGCGATGATGACAACGTGAGTGCTGATAGTGACGCCTCCCTCCAACACCTGTAGTTGCAATAGTGAGTATTTCCTTCTTCCGTATGATTTCTGCCATCTGGCCCATGGGACATAACAACAGACAAGTCTTCGCCGAAGTTTAGCAAGTAACGTTACCGGCGAAATTTTGAGTCTCCATGGATCCACTGCCGGCTCCTCTCGATGTGCGGCGTGGCTTGACCGAGGCAAGTTCTGTCTCACGTCGCCTTCACTGGGGGATCCTCGGTGCCAGCGACATCTCCTCAGACTGGGCAAAGTGTCTGAAGGAAGTTCCCGGAGCCGAGCTGGTTGCAGTTGCTGCCAGGAGCATTTCGGGGCGGCGAAGAGGGCGGTGAGGACTAAGGGGGGGGGTGGACATCATGGCGGGCGCCATGATATCTCCCCAGATTTCATGGCGCCTCTTCTTATTTTGATGCGTTCCTGCCCCCCCCCCTGGGCCGCGCACGTGCCGCTGGCCACGATTTGCGCCCCCCCTTCTTGGACGCCCCCCTCGTGGCCGCCCCCGAGCGTCGACAGGGCGAAGGAGTTCGCTTCTGCCCACGGCGTTTCATCCGAGTCGCCTCCTGCGAGCCGCCGCCGCTGCTTTTATCCCCGACAGCGCTCCGCTGCGGCAGTGGTCAGAGATCCCTCCCACCAGAGTCTCCCCAGGCTTGGCATCGCTCGGGCGTGTGCGCTCTCTCCTCGGCGAGGAGCGTCGATGAGCATCCCGGATCCTCCTGCGGGACAACGCACGCCCTCGAGATCGAAGGAGCGCCTGGGGAGTGGGCGTCCGAGCGATGGCGAGCAGGGGGGGGGCCCATCGGGGAGGCCCCTCGCCTCCCCCGGCGGCGCAGCCCGCGACGGTCCAGCAGCGCTCAGCATGGTGTTTTGGGCTCGGTCTGGCCCAGAAGTGAGACTCGCTACAGTGCTCTGGCTCTCTGGCTTGATCTGGCTTCGAAATGAGATTCACTGTTGTGTTCTGGCTCGATCAGATCGTGCATGGGACTGCGTCGGGCAGGCAAATTCATTCCTAGAGGGAAGAATCTGAGCAGATGTGTGGCGGATGCATGACCCCTGTCGCGAGTCACCCCACCCCGTGTATTCTTGACAGTCGAGCGTTGGCCCATCCTTCTGCCAGGCTCGGACAGTTCGTTTCCCGTGCCGATGTGGGAACCTCCGAGGCAACACTGAAGGTCCATTTGCCGTTTTTTGGTGGGCCTGGGGCACTCGCCTCTGGGACTCGCCGAGGCTATCTTGAGAATTCCTGTTGCTGTCTTGGCAGCCTCCCTCGGAGACCATCTTAGCGTGTTGGGGCCTGTTCGGGGCATCCGAGGCCTTCATGGCGGCTTTTTGGGGCTCCCTTGGGACCCTCTTGGGGTCTCTTGGGGCCCTCTGTGGGATCCCTTGGGATTCGAATCGCAGCCTTGCCCGTCTGGAGGCCCTCTTGGACCATTGTGAGGCCATCCTGAGATTTTCCAGGCCCATCGGAAGCCGAAAACCATCTTGGGACATCTCGGGGGAGAAAAGAGGTGGCCTCATGAAGTCCTGGGTCACCTTGGAGGTCTCGTGCGGTCCTGGGCCACGCCTTCCTGGGGCCATCTGGGGGTTGGGTTGGGGGTGGCGTCGGCGGCATAAGCACGAGATTTGGAGCATCGTGTGACTGTTCACAGCCTGAAGGCGCCAAAACGGGGTTGCCAGCCGATCTGCGTACGGCGATTACAGCGATCTCCTCGAGAACAAGAAGATCGACGTCGTTTACATCGGCACGATCACGTCCACGCACAAGGACCTCACGTTGCGTGCAATTGCCGCCGGCAAGCACGTTGTCTGCGAGAAGCCGCTAGCAGAGACTCTCGCAGATGCCGAGGAGATGTACCGGGCAGCTGAAGCTAAGGGTGTGATGCTCCAAGAGGGCATGTGGCAACGCTTCTTCCCAGCAGTCGACAAGGCACGGGAGTTCATGGAAGACGGAAGTATCGGTGACGTGAGCTTGGTTCGTTCAGAGTTCCCAGATCCTTGCTATGCTGTCCAGGCGGCTCCTTTTGCATTCGGCACCCGTGGCTTCAAGGGCGTAGTCGCAACTGGTCCATTCTCTTCAGGGAGAGATGCGAGTGCTGCTGTGGCTCAGTTTGACGCGGGCTGTGCGATGTTCTCGTTCCCGAAGTGGGACAGCGAGTACCCAGAGAAGATTGAGATCATTGGCAGCAAAGGCTGCCTGAGCTTGGAGCAATGGGGACACTGTCCAACCCGCCTGGTGGTCTCTCTGACACCAGAGCAGTGCCTCCAGGGGCCATCGGTGCTCGCAGCAGAGGGTGCAAGGGGCGCAGCACCGCACACGTCGAGCTCTCAGTGTGGAATGCAGCCTATCCTGAAAACTTTTGACTAGCCATCAGCGCTGCCGCGACTATCCGCCATCGCCGCTGAAAGCGTAATGTACCTTCGCTTAGAAGTATTGTTCTGCAGCCCGCAGTCAGAGCAGCGAGGATGTGGCGTGGCACCGCGCCATGGTTGATTTAGCAGGCGTGTGTGGAAGCGCACGGCTATGCTTTCAGTGCTTATCTTTTGTCGTGTAAGCAAGGCACGAGTCGAAGATGACAACATGGTGGAGGAGGACGAGTTCGAAGATGTTGACGATGATTCTGATGATGATGATGATGATGATTCTGCTGCTGATGTTGATGACGGTGATGAGGACGCTGATGCAGCTGGTGACGATGCTGCTGCTGCTGCTGATGATGATGATGATGATGGCCGTGGTGGTGGTTGTGGCGGCAATATTGCTCATACTAGTAGTGTTGATGACGATGATGATGATGATGATGATGATGATGATGATGATGATGATGATGATGATGATGATGATGATGATGATGATGATGATGATGATGATGATGATGATGATGATGATGATGATGATGATGATGATGATGATGATGATGATGATGATGATGATGATGGGGATGCTGATGATGATGGGGATGATGATGACGATGATGATGATAATGATGCTGATGATGATGGTTCTGATTATGGCGACGAAGACGACGGTGATGATGGATACGATGATGTTCGATGTTGCTGTTGTTGCTGCTGTTGTTGATATTGACATTGATGCTGATGATGATGATGATGCTGATGATGGTGCTGATGATGATGCTGCTGATGATGCATATGACGACGGTGATGATGATGAGGTTGATGATGACGGTCGTTGTGGTGGTGATGATGCTGATGATGATGGTGATGAATGAATAATGGTGCTGCTGATGATGCTGCTGTTGTTGAGGATGATGATGCTGATGACGATTATGAAGATGCTGATGATGGTTATGACGATGCTGATTGTGATGCTGATGACGATTATGCTTATGCTTATGATTATGATTATGCTGCATATGGTCGTGGTGGTGGTGGTCGTTGATGGTGGTGGTGGTGCTGCTGATGATGCTGATGATGACGATTCTGATTTGATGGTCATGGTAATGGGTGGGATGATGAGGACGACGACGACCATGACGAGGAGGAAAGAAGTGTGAATCATACGTGCACATGGACACACTTCTTTAAGCAGGCGTCGCAGAGTGTCCCCAAGCGCGGGCAGCAGATGGAAGTGCTAACTGTGATCGAGCACTGTCGAAGGCGTAGTGTACGAGACGCCTCGCACTATAAAGTGCAAACGATGGACACATGGGCACACACATACACACGCACATCTCTCTCTCTCTCTCTTTCTCGTTCTTTCTTTCTTGCTCTCTCCATCTCTCTCTGTCTCTTTCTGTCTATAGATATGCGTTAAGCAGCAGGACCGGGGCTTCAGCGTAATGCTCACCGAAAGCCATCTAGTGGCCTTCGGCCCATCCCGCCACCTTACCTCGGCTGTGGTTCAGAGGCCTCTTGGATGCAAACGAGAGTCTCTTGGGATGCCTCTCGGGGGACTCTTGGAGGGGCCTTGGGGGCTTCTGGGGGCCTTCTGGGGTCCCCTTGGGGCGTCCTGGGGGCCTCTTGGAGGCCTGTTGCGTCTTAGGAGACCTCGGGGGCCCTTTGAGGGCTCTTGGGGCGGAGTGCTCGAAATGTTCGTTCGCCACCGCCCGCTGGGTCCCCAAGATGTCGGCTCCCAGGCGGTGGATGTGGATTAATCCCCGCCTCGCATCTCCGCCGTTTGTGCAGGTGCCGTTGGGCTCGGGCTGGCCATCGCCATCCCCCTTTCGTACTTCTCGACGCCACGACTGTCCGCGCGCCCGCCGCTGGCGTCGGTGTCCTGCCCGTGCGCAACTGCGCCGTGCTGCTGCCGCAGGACGGAGAGATGCCACGGCTGGCCCCGCGCTGCCCATGTATGCCGAGGGTGCAGCGGGATCAGTAAATATGCTCCTCTCCGCCTCATATTAAATTAAAACATGACTTAGTTTGCATGCGTTGCACTGTCCGCTGGAACTAACAGCTGCGTTCCGCAGCTGTATGGATGCTCGAACAAGCCAACCTTGGCTTGCAGGAGAGAAAAGGAGCGCGCCAGCCCTCGGCCGTCGTGCGTCGTCGGTCGTAGGCCAGCCGGCCTCCTCCCTTCATTCCTGATCGAGTAATCTTGCTTAGCGGATACTTGTCTTATCAATGTCTCATCCCGTCCTCTCTCTCCCTCCTGAGCAGAGTGACCATGAGATCTTAATTCCTTTGTCATCTTACCCCGATTCTCAGAGGAAAGTCTGGTTATCAGCCGAAACGCGCGACTTAGTCGACGCGGGGCCATCATATCCAAAAGAAGAACTGTCAAATGTGCCCCGCGACTCAGTCGCTGCGGGAATGAGATATGATAAGACTGACATCGTGTCCAATATCTCGAGAAGCGCTGACGGGCGCGTTGTACAACATGATGGGCACGACACAAACAAGGGCGTCTAATTCAGGACCGCGTCCCTCCTTCATATATCGCCATTCGGGTAACTAGGGGCAGAAGTGCCGAGGGGGCATCAGAGATGTCGATGGACGTCTCTCCCGCTGGAGTTCCGATCGGTAATCGTGAGCAGACCCCAGACCCGCATGGGCGAGATGGCGTAACAGCGAAAACTAGACGAAACGCGTTTTCGTCATGGAGTGCCAAATCGACGGAGTCAATCAGCCCAATTCCGAACGCTACACATGCTATCGCTACAGCCGCTGGTGAAGCCGGCAGGCCAGGGGAAGTCCAAGAGATGGCAACCAATGAATCTGTCGACGCCAACGCGGTCGCCGCTGCTGTTGCGGTGGCCAGAATAGAAGGAGAACAGATCGCTACAGTCATGGCGGAACGAGAACTGCAGAGCTTACAAGAAGAGCTCAAAAACGCCAGGCTGGAGGCAACTAACACCCAAGCTGTAGCTGCGAAGATAAACGACCAGAACAATCTTTATCTGGAAAAACTCGAATCGCATGAAGAAGCCAGATCTTCCCTCCAGCGCATGTAATCGAGCAATGCTAAATGCCCGCCGGCTAAGCCGGCTGGAACGAACGTACATCAATTGTCGACGGCTCAGTCGTCCGGCACCGTGCCCGTTCCAACGCAGATTGATCAGACGACCTCAGCAAATGCGGGAGCGTCAACCCTGATGGCGAGAAATGTGACGCACCTCCTCCCGAGGAGAGGGGAAATGCATTCTCCGTTGCCCAATTCTGCGCAGTCTGCTTTCGTCCGAAGACGGACAATGGCGTCGGATGTGGTGGGTCGGCATGTGAAGAGCATATCGATGCAAGCACTAGAAGATGCTTTAAATGTGACTTGTGGAAGAGTGAAAGGTCAGCTGCCAACATGCGAGGAGAAGCGGCTATTTTGAACGCAGCTAATGCAGAGAAAGGAATGATGAGGCTTTAAGGCTATCATCACCGACCCGACTCCATATACTGAGAATAAACGAGAAGCCGGACTCACATCAAGTTCATTCGGTTTTCCGTTGCTTTCGCAAGAAACTCCCGTGAGGCCATTGGTGCGTCAGCACTTTACTGTTCCAGGCCCTGCCCTAGAAGGTCCGGCTAAGCCGAGCGCCACCGAGAGTGGACTTCCTGTTGGGATCAAGCTAACTGGGCCTAACGAAGGTAATACTCTCGCCAGTTACCGCCCATCCTATAGAGATGGTCCTACGGGAACGACGGCGACTAAGTCGTCGGGCGAGGCAGGACAGGGCGGAGAAGGGGGCGATAAGAGCGACGCTCCTAACACCGAGATCGTATCTTCACATGAAGATGACCATGGTAAAAGACCACGTGGGTCGCCCCCGGGAAGCCCAGGGGGTTCCGATCCCTCTGATGGTGGAGGGGGCCGCAGAGGGCCTCAGGGCCCTGGCGGACCGCATGGCCCAGTAATAATTGACGAAAGCACGCCGCTGGATCAATGGAGACAGGTTGGTAACAACCAGAAAATTGATTTATTGGACATCCCCGATGTAACGAACATTCGGGAGTGGCAAATGCACGCAGTACGTGCGATCGCTGGATCATCGCCCGAGAGCCAGGCTGCACAGCACTGGATTACTGGGGCTATGAACCCAGCTGTGGAGGATGAGCAGCTGAAAGATGCAGGGCGATTCCAGCGTCTCGATCTCATGATTGCAACGAACCTCATCGAGAAATTCAACAAGATGCGAAATAATCGCCATCAGCCTGGTCATCACACTCATTTCCTCCAGCAGATCACTCGCGTGGAATACAGCGCCCAGAACGAGGGAAGACTCATGACTGGACGCGAGTTGGTGCGAGCCATTTGCCATTGGTGTTCGGTGAGATCGGAGATGGGGCAACATCGCATTTCACGTGACATCTTCGAGGTGATCATTGACCCGCGCAAGCCAGATGCCGACCTGTATCATTTCTACAATGAATGGACATATGTATATCAACAGCTTTACGGCGCTAAGCCTCCGTCCGATGAAATGAGGGCCTCGATTCATGCGCGCTTTCTTGAACAATGCAGAAAGCCGAGCAAACTGAACTTTGTATGCCAGTTATACGACATGTCAAGGGATAAAATGGAACATGGAGCGAAGAGTTATGAATGGCTGATGGAGCAAATTGAAAAAAAGATGTTGCGAGAAAAAGAAGAGTGGAACATCAGCGTGGATGAGGGCACCTTGAATCAGCGTGCTAGGCAAGCACGATTCGGCGGAGGCGGAGGCAACGACAACCGGAAGAATGCAGGCGGCAAAGCCGCTCTGGCGGAGATTGCTGCAAAATTGGGGAAACCCACAGACGTCATGAAAAGCGGAATGACCAAGGGCGAGACCACGTGCAGATGCGTGCGCAAGGGCGAATTTTGCCCGTGCGCAAGGAAAGGCTGTCCCTTCAATCGTGAGAAGCCCAAGAATGCCGCACCGGCTCAGCCGAGTACGGGAAGAAAATCCAGCGCCGCTCCTGCCCAGGATAAG